GTAATGATTGCAAACCTAATCAGAGTATATTCCTCTCTCCTCTCACTGCTGCCCTACCCGTCCTTTCAAATAGGGACTATCAAGGAAATTAGAATATTTGTTACACAGAGTTTAAGATAAAAATGAGGCTTAAAGGCACATTTAATTCTGTAAGGAGATAACGGTCAAAAAGAAAGTATCAACCGCAAAATACAGTAGACGTAGTAGTAGCGGCAGCAAAGGGAATATTTAGGCATAATTCGGCCCGAAGGGATGAAAAGAAAACTACAATCTTTTTCTCGATGTATTATTCATATTCAGCACCTATCGCAATTCATTCTCAACTTCTTTAGATTATTTGGTTCCTGTTTCAACTTACCCCATTACTTAAAAAAAAGGGTCGTTTGCGTTTTCTGTTGACATGCACATCGAACTGTACATGCACTGTGTTCATGCACTTGATATTGCATTACATTACAGGTCATTTAGCAGACGCTTTCATCCAAAGCGACTTACATTACACTTTAAACCCATGGTGTTTTCACATTTTTAACCAGGGAGCAATTAGGGGTTAGCTGTCTTGCTCAGGAACACTTCGACATGGAACATGGGGCAGCCTGGAATCGAACCACCAACCTTGTGCTTCCCAGCACACCTTCTCTAACCCCTGCACCACTCACCAAGTGAGGCCGTGTTGCGGAGATCAATAGTTTGTCGAATGAGGTGCTGATCCGAGGGTCTGAGACTATTTTCTGTCCCTAACCCTAAAACCTGTTTGTTCCTATTTTGTCTGGTGGCCCCGTTGTGGAATAATTAAGCGGACATTGATGCACAAGATAGGTACTCCTACTGCGCTGTAAACATGTTTACCCGTTTGCCGTGACAATTCATTCCCCTCCATTTGCCACGTTATCGTCTCATCGCACTACAGAAAGAGGGAAACACAGATATGAGCTCCACAATGCATTTTGTATATTAAAAAGATTTTTAACAGGATATTAGTATCAGACACACTTTTTATCCTACCTAACCTCATGGTTAATATGACAAAACGACAAAATAGGTGTTATATGTAAACACATATGAATCGATAAGTAGTCATTTTGAGTCTTTTGATTCAAGTTGTTTCTCAGTGAATTCACTAGAGTTTGAAATGAATCTCGTTGGACTTTGGATGACCTTTAAACGTGCTTTCCCCTCCTCCACCTTTTCCCAGAGTACAAAATTCCCCTTGATATACACATTTTTTAAATGAGTAAAAAAAAAATTAAATAAAGTGCTCCCAGTTATTGAGTGTGGGCCAATAATGCAGTGGCATTTCACACCTGAGATATTTTCTCATAGAGTTAGTGCAGACACCATGAAATAGCCTATAAAAGGTGTTGTCAAAACACGCACTCCGACCTGCTCTAAAAACCTGACCGCAGGGCCGTTGAAGCGTCGCTATTGGAACTGTAGCCACATCGAAGTACGGCCTGACCTAAGTGCTTCTTCGGCCTGCCCTTCCTTTTCTGTTCTTCATTATAACTTTTCACCCTCCACTCTATGAAATGAGGACTTTCTTCTGTTTTCATCAAACCCCCTCCCCTCAAATATATACACCTTAAAATGCACAGCAGCTCAATGCTTATTATTATTATTCTCGTATTCAGAGGCTCATTCTTAGCTTCACACCTCGTCCTCCCCCGTGCCGTTTTCTTTTCTTATCCTCCAACTCATCCTAATTCCCTCTTTTTCCCTTTTAATTGACTCTCCTCCTCCTCCTCATCACTCAGAGGAACAGCAGAGCTCTTCATCAAGCAGCAGACAGGCATCTGTCGCCGTGCAGGCCGGTCTCGGCGTGATTGATTTTGTGGCCCACCTGCTTCTTTCGTAATGACCAACTGCCAGTTATTTTACTGCCCCCCCCCTCAGTATCTCCTGTCGCTGCAGCATCCAGAGGATAAATCTCCCAGCTCAGACCTACAGTGAATTATCTAGCTTGTCTTCAGACAAGATTTATGTGGGTAAACCACAGACCCCCCCCCGCCCGTCCGCCTTCCCATCCCTGAGGAGAATGCTATCGCCATAGTTATTTCTAAGAGACAAATCGTTTATTTTCTGACCGAAACCACAATATCTCTTAACGCTTAACGTTTTCAATTATTCCCGGGCGATGACTCTTCAGACAGAAGCTAATAAATGTATGTTTGGGGCTGCAAGCATCCACGGCGTGTTTTGATGTGGTCTGGTAACGGCTGGTAAAACAGTTTGGAAGCGACGAGAATAAAACGGTACCTGGGAGAAATATATCCACATATTGGATCAACAAGCAAGACTTACAGCATCTCCTGTGTGACGAGTCAACGTGGTTTCAAGTGGGGAATCAGCCCATCCAATTATTTAGTTTGAGTCCCAAAACAAGGTATACCATAAGGAGTATATGTGATGAGCATGTGTTATTTTCTTGAGAACTTTTCTTTTCCAGAGACAACCAATGTTACATGGTCCCCTCTTTGGTCCCTATGTTTCAGCACGAGGGAACACTTGAGACAAATCCAGACTAAATACATTATGACATATTATATGACATATCATATTATATTCTGACTTAATTGATTTCTGCAGGGAAACTAGCATTCACATTTCAGCTCCACCAAATACATGTTTCAATGGATTTGGTTGAAGGCACGAGATGTTATTCCTTCAACTGAACCCAGCGTGACTCTGTCATTACGTCAGGTAATGAAAACATGTCAAACACAAACCATTTTTAAAAACCCCATGGCAGCCTGAAGACTGAGTACGGGTGTTTTAGAGGAGCGAGAGCACGGGCAGATTCCCCCTCTGCACTCACCTGAGCTTCTTTGATCCTCCACAGAGACCAGGTGCAACTTGCAGTCATCCTTTCAAGATCTGCCTCTCTCTTTCTCTCTTTTCTGTCACTGTTTGTCTCCCCTAATCTTTCATTCACTCTTTTGCCCTTCTTCCCCTCCTCTTCCTCTGCCCTCTTTCTCTCCATCTGTCTGGCAGGGACAACCGAGTGCTCGTGGAGAGCGGGGAAGCAGCAGAAGGCATCTTTGAACCAGCGCTTCAGGATGCAAACCTTTCATCTAGAGCAGTAACCTGGCCAGGGCAGGCTGCAGGGTACCTCGGCTGTGAGACGGCACACAGCGGTGGGGGAAGGAGGGACGAGACAAGTGGAGAGGAAGAGAAGTTACATGAGCGGGATAGAGGAAAAGGGGAAATAAAGAACGGACCTTTTCGGGGTCAATGAATTAATCTGGATACTGTCAGAGTCTAACAAAAAAACATGATATGATTTTTTGTCATACCGCTCAGTGTGTGTGTGTGTGTGTGTGTGTGTGTGTGTGTGTGTGTGTGTGTGTGTGTGTGCGTATATGCGAGTGCTTATGTGTGTAAAATTCCTGAGAAACCTCTCCCTAAAAAGCAGGCTGCATGCTTCTTTTGGTGAGGCACATAACTCAAAAGCATCCCATTGACATCCGTTGTCTATAACCGTGGAGGACTGTGAGTTGGACAAATGGATTGTCTCATAGCTGTTGGCCAGCGGAGGTTCTGCATGGGACGATCAAGATCGCCGAAATGCCACATCTGGGAACACGGACATGGATCATTACGGAGTGTTGTTCAGGTTGACAAAAAGTTGTTAACCTCAAATAGAAATGCATCTTTTAAGTCAGTAGACATTGGAAGTGCGATGGGTTTCTGAGAGGCCATCACTATAAAACAACAGTTGCCCACAGGACAAAGATGGGTTTCCATGATTTAAATAGTCTCTATCTAGCCTTATCATATTATTTTTCTCTCTGTCTCTCCTCCGTTTTGTAGACAACCTTGGTAAAGTAATGAAAGCTCATGCTTCATATCAAAGACACGGGATTACCATGGGAACCAAACCTCTTGTTGGTGAAAAATTGATTAATCTTTAGTCTGCAGTGGTTCAGTAAGCCTCACAGTCCCAAGGGTGACAACCACTAAATAGAGTAATAAAGCATATAGCGGAGAATCAATATTGCATCTATTATGGGATCACCTTAGGTGGGATAAGATAAAACACGTCTGCCACCAGGAAAGCAATAGCTGCGTCTGTTAAATTCATCTCAAGGTATTCGTTACCATCACAGAGGAGTAAAAAACTTGAACAATTCTTTCTGTGAGAGAAATGCACACGCAGTCAAACTGTTTATAGCAAAGTCCAAAAGCTTTTTCTCCACAAACACAGATAGCTTTGGGAGCGAGGTACTCATCCGCTGGAGGAGGTCATATGTTGCGAGCTCCTGTCAGGAGGATAAGCACTTGGAAGAGCCAGTCGAGCAGTCTTAAAAGACAAGAGGCAGAGGAGGGGGACGTGACCGGGCAGCGGACTCCATACAGTCCAACAAGTGCATTATGTTTGCACTCAGCGGGGGGCCGAGGCGGCTGCCGGGCTCCATGCGAGGCGAGGTGGCAGCTTAAGAAAGCCAACCCTTTTAGACACAAGTGAATGTATCCATTGCAAATCCATTCAATTAGGTCAGTGTGGCTCTTGGTAGGTTTCGGTGCGTCACAAGTGTCCTATTCATGTCCTAAGTGTGGTTGTACCCCTCCCCCTCTTTCATCCCTCCCATCTGGCACCTCAACTCGCCCACTACGTTCTCGTCATTTCACACATGCTTCCTATCTGATACAGTTAATACTTCTACTGGTATGATGTACAAAAACAGAATGAAACACCAGCTGAAAAGAGCATCTAAGGTTGTAATGGAAGGAAAAAAAACTGCTCTTTCATACTGTAAAGCGTGGTTTCTAAGGTTGAGGCGGCGCTTTTTCAACACAAAAAAAAGTAGAAGAGTAAGCATGGGCATAAATTAATAAATAGAACCAGATCCAAAGGCTCCTACCACTCGCCTGGAATATTAGTTAGGTGCTGACAGAGATGCAAGTTGGGGTTGGAGAGGGAGAAGCATGGGGAAGGATCCTGCAGAGTGGAGTTAAAAATAGAGCATGAAGTGGAGGAAGAGGAGGGGGGGGGGACATACCTGTGGGCTCGGAGGCAGCCTAGTTAGCAACGAGCAGCCCCACTGTGGAAGATGCTGGGCTGGAGAGGGAGACAGAGAGAGAGAGATTGAGAGGCGGAGATACAGAGAGGGGGGAGGTGGGGGGGGTAGAAGAGGATGGGGGAGGATAATGAGAAAACAAGTCGGATTAGCATGAAACCCCGTGTTTGAGTTGGAAACAGACAATGATTTCACAGTAGGCTGCGGATGGCAGCAATGACGAGCAGTAGTCTGTGACAGACGTTCACGCGTTGAGCTCATGTCTCCCAAACACAAATCCATGACTAGTTGTTAGATGTTTCCTACTATCTAATTACTAGTCATTCATTAACAAGTAGATCTCTGGCTCATCACGGCAAATTACTTCCCTTTCTACACATTATTGTCACTTACAGCGTTCAACAGAAGGGAAGGCTACCTCAAAAAATGAAGAAATCAACGGTTCTTATAAACAAACATTTCAGCCACCAGCTGTTAAAAGTCAAGAGCGACAACCAAACCGTTCAAACATTCGTCATTTACAAAACATTTAAAGGATGTTCCACACACACATTAAAAAGTATTGTCTCGTAAAGTGAAGTATAGTACGCATTTACAACCTTGGAGAGTGACATCACAACTTCTGGCTCATAACCCTTTATAGAATTTTAGTCCCAACAGGAATCCAAGTGATATCTGGCCTTCGAGAGGCGACTTTTAAATATTGGCACCAGTAGGCGGCTGAAGAAAGGCAACAGCATGCGGTCACGTGGGAGCAGTCCCACCGCGAGGGCAATCACTGCTTTGTTAACACGAGGGCCCGCCAGGTGAAGCAATACTTTTATGTCAGCTGGAAATATTCTGAAAATGAGGGAAACACATCATCATGAGCCCATCATCTCAAACCTAATAATCCTGTTCAGGAGGGATTCTAGCGAGCAGAGAATGAGTTTTCAAAACACTGTGTTTTCTTTTTCTAAAATACCTCCAGAATCTGAAGCTTCACACCTCACTATTGGGGATTTTGTACTATTAAGTAGACAATAAGACACTGTCGCTACGTCTGATCTTTTTGATGTTAACACATATCAAATGTTTGGTGGCTTTGACATTTCTTAAATCATGTGGAATGTAAACACCGATAAAAACAAAGTAAACATTACAATGGTTGATGAAATTTTTCAATTAATTTGTTGCGCTTTGAATAATTAACTGTTTGTAAATCACTCATTCATTTTGAATGTATCTCATTATTTAGCATATTAATTCATTCACATGAGTGTTTTCGTTCTTTATTTTTAACAGATTTGTAAAATTTTGCAAAAAACAGTTTTCACTTTGTCATTATGGGTTATTGTGTGTAGAATGTTGAGGAAAATAATGAATTTAATCCATTTTGGAAAAAGTGAAGCGCTGTGAATACGTTCCGGATGCACTGTATGCTAACAAAATTATATTTAACAATGAATGACGTCTCTCCTGCCTCTTAATCATTGAAATGCACCGTTATGCCACAGGGAACCATTATGACTGCCCAATAAGAGACAAGAACAGTTATGGTGCAACAACTTTCCATCTCCTCTGAATGCCATGTCTCTTAATCACTTAAAAAGAGGCAAAGACTAACAAGACTTTTGTGATAAATAAGTATCATTGCCACTGCACTCATTGGTCTAAATGTAAGGATCAGGTAATGTCTCATATCTAAGTGTTAATGGGAGATTTGTATCAACGCCAGATCACAACCATCTGCTACAGCTACATAACGATCAATCAGCAGTTATATACAGATAATGTGATCACCCAAAACAGACTTTATGAGTAGAATGATGTTCAATAAAAGCTCAACAGCTGGTTTTCTGGGCCTTTGAAAAGCAGCCAATTTGTACAAAAATGTCAAGCTCACAGTCCTTCTCTAGTTACCGGTAGTCATAGAAAGAGATGTAGAAACCTCTTTGCTATAGCAGATAAAAGCAGGTGGACAACAACGGAGTTTAAAAAAACAAACATAAGCAGTCCTTCACCTGCATTGATGCATTCACCAATTTGATCAAAGATTGCCATCACCGACCTGTCAAATTTAGAATACGGTTAAATGGGTCGATTCCGTGGCAGGATAACAAATATTTATGAGAACAACTCCACAATCTATATGCTAATTTAAATCATTATCATAACATAACTCATATAATGCATTGCTGATTGATGACTTCTACCCATGCATCTTCTGTTTCTGTATCTGGGGATCAGCGCAGTCCAGACGTTGTGAGTAATATGGCACTTGCAATGGGAAGGAATTCCATGGCCAGATCCCTGCCAATGCGCATTAGCATGTCGGATTCTATTCACAAACCCCACAGCGGTGGAGCGACGTGAGAGACACCGTCCTCGTCTTGCACACGACTCTCCTCTGCGTTGCTGTTACAGCTGCAGGTTCGGCTGAATGCGTTTGGTTGAGATGCTGGAATCAATCGGTTCAGCTGCTGCTTTTAGAGGCTATTGGCTTTAAACAATCTTTATAGAGGAGAGCGTTTTGCTCGAGGTTGCGTTTAAAAAAAACTATGAAATTATGTAAGCAGAGGAAAGTAGTGCCAGCTCTGTACCCTAATTAAATTATAGTGGAAATTGATTACTTAACTATGAATGCAAAGTAATTTATGAGAGCAAATAGGGGCAAAAGCTAGCACACATCTCTTTACCCAGCATTGTCATCCAGCTCAAAAAGCCCGATGAGTGGTAAAAAATTCCACCTTCTGATCAGATGTCCAAACTACCTCGACTGGCACTTGGCTGCAAACTGCCCAGTGGGAGCTAAAGGGTCAAAATCCGACAGAACCACATTGTCTGCAAAGAGGCGATTCTGAGGACCCCGGACCTGGAGATCTTGTCAAAAGCGACCACGAATCTGGTGATCCTCAACACGTGTGCTTGAGTCGTGCCGCGCAAACAGACATACCTCTGTCTCTCTCCAAGCGAATGGCTTTAATCAAAACCTCAGAGCCCCGTGTTCTTGCAGCAGCATCAACAGGACATTCCTAAAACACGACGGATGGATTGACCTCAGCAACAGTGTACAAACTGGATGTCCCCTTTAACTTTCACAATGTTTTTACAAAAGGAAACTCTTTCATCTGAGTGGAACATTTGGATGCTGTGAATAGAAACAGGTGTGGCGGTGAAAACCAGGGGTCAGCGCATTCATCCATTAAAAGGGCTGCTGTTTCCAAAGAGCTACCTCCGACTTGAAAGGAAAATACTGCATACAAATTTGAAGCAGGTTTATTATCCACCTGTGAAAGCATAACAACAAGGTTTTCTCACTCAGTGCTTTACTCCCTACTTTAGTTTTGAGCTACTGCAAAAATGATGTTTCCAGCCCACAATTCTCTTCCCGTGGGAGTAGAAACCTGTCAGGAGGACACTCGGGGGAACAATATCCAACCTGTGATTATGAATAACTGTTTTTCAAGATATTCTATTCCTCCCTCACAGGTCCTAAACAAGCTCTGTTAAGAGACTGACAGAAATGTCACTTTGATGAGAGTAACCTATTAGCGTCTCAGACACTGCAGACTGTAATGTCAGAGTGGAAAAGTGGGACAATTGGGAGAATATGACACCAAGCAAGATGAAGAACATCTTGCTTGGTGTCATATTCCCAAAAGTTATAACTTCTCCAACTTCGTGTGGCAGAAGCAGTGCTTCAAAAGTAAAACTCTTTGTATCAGAAAATGTATGTTTTTTCCACTCTATCCAGAGATTATTGTCAGAAAATAAAGATAACCTTTGGTGAGTAACATGTGTCGAGGAGCCTTCTTGCACACCGTCTATATTGGCAAACATACATACGTGAGGTCTTTCCTGACCCCGATGCTGTGTGCATGTCAACATTTTATTAAGCTTTTTCAAACCCTTTATAGCCATGATTGAGTGACATATTTATTTGTATCTTAACTGATACAAGAAAAGTCAGCTGGGGATTCTTGTTTTTTTCCTCCAGTCCTAAAAAAACACAGTTTCCTGCTGGTGGCCACTGGGATCCGCCCTGCACGGCTGCAACCATCCGCCGTCAGCTGCACAGCTGCACCCTAACATTAGAAGAGGCTGACCACTTTCTGGTCACAATACCACTTAATCCTTGACAAATACAATTGGACACTACATCAACACCCTTTCCGTCTCGATCAAATTGAAATGGCCTGCTTTTCTATTCCGTCGCAAATCAACAACTAACATGCTAAATTTTTTTTTAAAAAGTACAGATAAATGTCCGCGCCGCAATTTACGAAGGGTAATGAGTTCTGAATACTGAATAATGAATACTGCCAAAACAGTTTGGCTCAAATAAAACCAAAAGGACAAGAGGGATGACAAGTTGACTCTATTCAATTATCCCGAAGGAACAGAGGCAGCCGCTGCTCAGTCAACTCAGCCAAGGTAAATGAACTGTCAAGGCTTTGACGGAACAGAACAGACCAAAAGCTGTGAACAATATTAAAATTACTGAAGATTAGCACTTTAAAAAATTGGTTGATATCAGATGACAATGCTGGCGTTCCACAAATCACACAAGACCAATTGGCCTCATCCTTGTTGTGGAACGCACAATGTGAAAAGCTGTGAATAGATTTGGTAGTAACTTTTTGAAAAGCACAGGACTCTTTGTGAGAAAGGGCGTTGGTTGCCTCTTCCCGAATTAGCTCTGCACACACATATATACTCATTATCAGCTGCACCACAACACACTGGAGCCGCTTTGTATCACCAGGGAAACTCGCACGTCCTCGCCCCGCTTCCTGCCATGACCTCACTCACAGCAGAATACAAACATTGTACGTCAAGCATCAGCATTTTTTCACAGTGTGAGAAAAGTTGAAAAAAAATTTTAAACCCCATTTAACGTTTTTTGTGTTTGAATAGAATACTTTGTTTTCATTCATCCTACAAGTTTTGCTCATTTACGATTTTATATTATGAAACTAAACTAAAATACCTGCAAATCACAAATCATCATTAAATGTTTATTTTGAAAAGATTATGCTCAAATGTAAATGCAAAGAAA